AATGCCTTTTTCTGTTTACTTCCATCATATTATAGGTAGAAGTCATTAAAATATTTATTAACACTACACGCGACTTATATGATATAATATATTATATCAATTATATTAACTTAAGGTACTAAAGTCTACAGTACAATACATATATATATATACGTATATAAGTGTATTTACATATATATATATATATATATAATATTACTTAATATGTATATAATAAAATGTCTTAGCATGTAATTACACATAGTATAATAATATATATAGTTACACGTTAAAAAATAAAAAAAAAATAAACAAACGGTTGGTATACAAAAGTCGGTAGGTATATATTATAATACGATTGGTGGTGGGGGGTTGGGGGAGGGGGGTGACTAGAAATATTTATTATAATATTAACTCAATAATAATAATAGTAATCATAGTATATGTAAATAAATAAACACTCTTGTCTGTTGTGGAGGAGAGGCGACGATCGCCGTACGAGTTCAGTAATAATATTATTTAAGTTGGGCATATTGTAGGAGGTACAGGTAATACAGAATATTGTGTTTGTTTGTATTTCATTATATTCATATCATCGTATTATATTATATGGGTACATAATATGGAAGAAAGCGCAAAATCGCGTTCTAGGGTTGGGCGGAGGGCGTGTTTTTTTTTTTTGGGGGGGGGAGGGCCGGTGTAAAAATTGAAAGTAAAAAACGAATTCAAATACAAAAAACACAGGTACAATCTCGTATAGTAATAATAATAATAATAATAATAATATAAATATATTTTGTACACGCACGCGAGACACGTAGGTATAGTGCAGTGATGATGCGTAGGTATTATTATAATAATTTTCTGGTTATGGCGGGTAGGCATCATAGGTAGTTCGCGACGAGTACGAATCGGACGATATTTAGGTGGAAGCCGAAAAACGAAGAAAATTTCGTGTGTAAAGTGAAAAACCGACGAAATCGAAAAACGAAGTGGCCGACACCGACACAGATCGCGAGTTTTCCGATCAGACGGTGCGCGCTCAACAGGTTGTGCTGATAACGGCGATTCGCGGTTCCGCATATAACATAACAGATTTTCGTCCGCCCACACGATTCCCCGCCGAACGGCTTTGCGGCAAATAAATATTAAATCAAACTATACGCACAGACTACCTCAACTATATATTACATAGTTGGATTTTTGTCACCATTGTGTCGAGGTACTCATCGTCGAGGCGAACGAGATCGAAATCGACTTCCGCATAATAAACAACTGAAATGAGTACAATATTGTCTTATCGTTTAAATCGCGGGTGTAAACGGTTGCGGTCGTTTTGGGGCGTTTCACCACGCGAATCGGCTCGGTAAAGAGTGATAAAAACCGGAAGAGCGGGAAAAAAAAAAGCAGTCCGGAAGTGGATGCTACCGGGACGAGTCAAGTTCGACCGACTGCGGTTGGGTGTTGGCGCGACGACAATATTATTATTGTAATACGATGTGTGTGTGTGTAAAGGTACGGCGAAGTAGATTTAAAATAATATTTATAAAATATTATGAACATAATAGATTGTTCAGCGATGAATTAATTTATAGCGCGCGGTTTAAACCGTGGTCGTGTGTTAACGGAGGGAAGCGACTCTCGTTGTAACGACAATTATGGTCAACAATGATAATAATAATAATAATAATCATAATACGCACACAATTATTATGATATCATTATTATTATTACGACGAGACGTCGGAGGTACCTGCAGCAGCAGCAGCAGCAGCTCTATACGAACGCGATAATATTGTCTATGGAATGTCTCTCGTTTAACGGATATTAGGAAGTCACCTACTACCTACCTACCTACATAATAATACTATCAACTATTATCATCATTATTATTATTATTCTTTTTTTTTTGTTTTTTTTTGATTATCATAGGCTACACCGCGATCATACAGACATGATTAATATCGTACGAGAAAAAAAATCATAATAATATTATTGTGTACTCAACATTTCGTATATCTAAATGCACCAAGGCGTGAGGGTGCGTCGGTTTAAGATTTTTTTTTTCGGAGGTGTATTATACAAAGAATATAATAACAATAATAATAATAATAATATTAATAATAGTAAGTACGCACATCATCGACAAACGTAGGGGCGGTAGTCGATAACACAATACGTTCGACACGCGATCGTTTATATTATATTATATTATATTATATCATTACAATAATAATTACTTTTTCGGTGGCGCTTAATAAGTAATTTGATCATTTGGGTGCGATACACAACACTAACGTATACGCTATATTATAATTTATTATTATTACGACGACGTCCGCTGCGTTCGCCGACCGCGAAGTCAAAGTGCAACGAGATTTTTTTATTTTTCTAATGATTATAACGCCATAGTACTGTATAACAATGCTATTACACAATAATTAATATCGCAATAATAGTATTTTTATTATGGCGCAAACCGGCCGCCGCCAGAATTTAATTCAATATAATTACAGTGCGTCGACTGGACGGCGGCCGGCCCGGCGCCAGAGGCTCGCGGTCACACAAAACATACAAAGACGGACGACAGACGTCTTGGCGCCACCCACGTGGGTACAATATAAGTGCGATGGCGTCTCACATAACGTCGAACGAAACGGACGAGTCATAAAAAACTTAATTGATAGTCGAAAAACCAAATAAAATGCATACATAATAATATATAGACACAGTCATAATAATATTCATAATAATACATAATAATATTATATATTATTATATAATATAAAGGTTTATACCGTAATTGTATAGTATACAATCAAAATTATCGCGATAAATTAATGTCTACAAATTGTATAATAATAATAATAATAATAATAGTAATAATAATGTATAATAATAGGTAATTTAAAATTTATATAAATAAAACTAATCGTAAACTTATCGAAATTATTAATTTAATTTAATTTAATTTTTTTTTGTAGTTTTTTTTTCTCTTAATTTTTTATATTTAATAATAATAATAATAATAATAATATATAAAATTGGAACATCAGGTAATACGCACTAGGACAAGATTTCTCTCTCTCTCTCTATAAATATATATATTTATTTATTTATATAATATATATTATATATATAATAATATATACCGTCTACGTTTCGCGTAATATATACGTATACATTAATAATATATAAATATAATAACAAATAAGGGGTTCTGTGGCTGTGTTGTGGGTGGGTGGGTGGTGGCGGTCAAGAGGGGTTGGGGGTTGTATCGACGTGTGTCGTTAGAAAATATTATACATACAGTGCACACGAGATACAACAATAATATTATAGTACAGCTACCTAATAGTGACGATATTATATTTTTGTTCAGAATATTATTAATAATATCAATTTATTTACGTCGAATATAATATCCTATATATATATATATATATGTATTATGTATATAAACGTGCCGGGTGAAAACAAAACGTGATGTGGTAATAATTTATGTTATAATAATTATTTAGAGTGAACTATATAGTTATAATAATATTAGTATTAAATTAAATTTATAAATCATACGATTCCAAATGTAATAATTATAATGTACAATTTTTTTCAATATTATTATCGTTAAATAGAAACGATGATATAGTCATATCATAAAATAATATTACGTTTAATGACGTGACGTAGTAAAACACATTTTTTCATCTTTTTTTTTTGGTTTTTTTCCATCTAGAGATATGTACGAAAAGATTTCAATATGACAACATAATATTATTATGACAATATTGTTGTATATTCGACAGAACGAAAAAAAAAAATTGTTTGATTTTGTTATAATATTATTTTGTCGACTCTCGGGTCGGGTGGTACGATTGTATTATGTTTTTTTTGTTTATATTATAATATTATTACGTTACAGCTGTAGTTATAATATTATATTATATTATGTATTGTTTCACTCGATTTACAAATATATATAATTCAGTGTCACATTTATACAATATTCATTGTTAAACGACTATATATAATAATATTGTGTAATCTAAACAGAAATTGAGCATACAATAAAAAAGTAGCGTTTGCCCTGAATATATATATATCAAGAACAATGGCAATAATTTGACGTACACAATGTTTTTTTTTTCTCAGTTTCGTTTGAATAAAAATAGTAAAAACTTTCGAGTGAAAATCAATTATGTAATGATAAAATGATTCGCTCTCGTGTATTGAGGTAAATATATAATATATTATATATATATAAAAAAAACTCGACGTTACTTGTACGAAAAATCAAATAAAAAAAACAACTATACGATCAAAGTGGGGGGCGGAAGGGGTCAAATGACGATGGAAAAAAAAATGAAATATTTTCGGAAAAAATAAAATGAAAAGTCAAAGTATGACGAGGAGGGAACGACGACGACGACGACGACGACGACGAGGCTCTATTATATTACAAAAATTATAATTATTTAGTCCTGCGGTGGGGTGTATAATATAAAATTGCAGTGACGACGCAACGATGTGGGTGAGTATAAGTGCCCCCCCCCTACATCGTCGCCGGGATATTATGTATCATAATATTATAGGTATACGGTAAAACACAAACGATAAACGGTAAGCATATTTTATATAAATATCATAGTAAAATGGCAGCAAAAATGGGAGTTGAGATCGTCTAATAATAATAATAATAATAATAATGTATATAGTGGGTTTGTCAAAAAAAAAAAAAAAAGGAAAAAAAATTAATCATGACTAGATTTTCAGTTCAAATATTAAATATTTTAGCGGCGCCCCGTGTGTGTATGTGTGTGTATACGACGACAATATTATTATTATTATGCATATTATTAATTATATAATACATGGACACGACGCGTGTTATACATTAATATACATATAGGTACTACTTCGTGTGGCGTGCTGTACGTCGTGATGATGAAGATATATAATAATAATAATATTACATTAATCTACACAACAGTCGGCTGTAAACGTGCTTTTCGTCGTCTCCTCTACTGCTCCTCGTCCATCTCGTGTTCGCCGTCCCGGCTGTACATGTCGGCCAGTTTGTCGAAATGCGAACCCCAGGACACCAGGTACTCGTAGTCTTGGTGGTCGTCCTCGGTACCTGCAAAAGCGATTAATATATTAATATTACGGGCACGGTCGTCAGTTACGCCAATGTCGTTCTATACTATAGCTGTCTGCTGCAGTGTAGAACTGTAATTTTAATTTGACTGATTAGCGTCTACGCGCCAGCTCGCCAGTGACATTGGAATATTCCAACTTTTATTTTCACTTGCGCGCCAGAACATGTTTACACCTCACTGCAGGTGCCTCAACTCGCATGCACGTGTAAGCCTAGCACAAGTATTGTGGACTAGAGACGCCCTGTATAGGTGTTATCTATGATATAGGGGTGACTAAAATAGGGAAGCTTCCTATATAGTCATAGGCCAGAACGAGGGTGCCCCACTGGAATTTTTTGTACGCTCCCCCATCCGCCTAAACTTTTTTTAGTTTAATTTTCGGAAAAAACCCTTTGGGAAAAACATAAAATCATTAATACGACTCCTACATCATGGCAGGCCATAGCCTCTTATTGGCTATAAACAAACAATATTGTGTTCATTTTAACTGATATATTTTTCATCTATGTCCGAAATTAGCAACAACTGATTACACTTATTAAGTGATGGTATGTATTTCAATATTCCTAAATTGCAAGGAAGCTACTGTTAAAATTTCAAGTTTTTGGCTCCATTAGAAAAGCACAAAAAAAAACAGGAAATACATTTATGAGTATGGTTCCTAAACGATTCAAACATTTTATACGTATATCTGTGTGGTATAAAATATATAATAACAGTGATTATAATTTCAATCATATTTCTACTTTTAATAGTTGTGCATTATTTGTAAAACGTACTTATGATTTATAGACCAAAGTTCGATTCTTTAATATTTCACTAAATTATAACTATAAATATCTAAAAAAATGTGTTTAACCTTTAACAAATACATTAATTGGATTAATCTTAGTATGAATTTCTTCTACACTTCAAGTAAAATAATCTCATCTGAACTATGATAATGTTATGGAAAAATATCTATTTACCCGTGCTATCACTTATCACCATATGTAAACTATTTGTTTTATAATTACAACATAATAAATAATAATATATTAATTATTATTTATTGTGTATGATCAGTGTATGAATTTAAACTATATTATCTATCCGCTCGGTATATATTTTTACTATTTTTCAATTAAATGTATGAAACACTTCCTAATTCCATATGGGAGGTCGTGCGCCACTGTTCACCGTACCAGTCACCGTCTACCCACATATATTTAGTGACCCGTCTACGGCGACCACTGTCGGAGTCGTCGATGGCTCGGACGAAAAATACTGAGTTCTCGGTGGATATTTAAAAAAAAAAACAAGTTTGGCCACCCCTGATAAAAATGTACCCATTTTGAAAATTTACATCCTACGCATGTTACGCATGCGTGTATACATCGTGTAACTTACCCGTGTTTAACGATGACAATGATCCGGCAGTGCTGCCGCCTCCTTCGTAAGCATAATTGCGCAAGTCGTCGAACGGCGGGGCGTTTGGATCTCCGTCCGCGCGTTTCTTGTGGTCTTCGATGAATATGCCGACGTTGGGTTCCACGCCCACGGGCATCGCGGGATCTATAAAAGTCCGATCGTCAGGTACTTTAAAATATTATGAAAACAAAAATAAAACAATGTAATTGTTTTTTTTTTTTTTAATGAACTTGAGCCGGCAACTACGGCCATTGTCTCCGGAGGAAGACATAAGCGCCACAATGAGATAAGAAAAAAAAAGTGGTATCGTACAAAAGCGCCAAAATCCTAATAGATATAATAATATCTTTAATATATATCAAATAACAGATATTAAATTTAGAATTTATATCGTTTTATATCGTTAAAAACCTAAAAACGATTAATCTTAATCGACAAATGTATACTCTGATTACGATAGATTGTCACATAGACAGTTGTGTGTGAAAAATTAATTTATAATTTATCATTGACATTCTTTTTTTTATAAAATCTCAACCGATGTATTCAATTTATATTGATTTGCATGTATATCATAATTTATGATTTATTAATTTTATAATATAATATAATTTTTATAAAATAATATTAATTTAATATGGTATACATATATAATATCATTTTTATAAGATATATCAATTTTGAAAAAACTACTTATATAAAATATTGACTTTGGCACTTATGTCATATGTTTTGTATAACAAGTACAAAATATTATATTGGCCCTTATATTCTACAAATTTTGGCGCAAATGATAGGTCATTTTTGTACCTTTGGCGCTTATGTCATATAGCCATTAGCTCCACTCAATGTAATTATTATTAAAACAATTGAAAGGTGGCAATCCTTGGAAAAAAATGACCTCTTTTAAAACGGGTTAAGTCACCGCCAGTACTTACTTTGAGATTGATATTATTTGTACTACCTACTCAGTGGTAGTAGTTTTTTATTTTTGCTGTTCAAATATTATAAAAAAAATGTGTTACACAGATTATCTACTCCTTTTATACCGCAATTATAGGAAATATATGACCTTAATAAGTACTTTAAGCTATAATAGTTAATATTCTGAAATTCTTCTGTTTGTTAACTATTGTGACTTATGCAGTGTGAAATTTTCGGATCACGAAATCTCTGCACGGGGAACAAAAACAATTCGTATTATAGAGAATTTCGAGTTGAATAGAATTAAATAAATATCTGGTCCTAAGTTGGTTTGGCTCTCAAAAATATTTCGTTAAACAGAAAATTCTGTTAATTGGAAATTGGTTGTATGGTTTTAAGTTTCACTGTACAACTTAAACGTCGACTCAACTTGACTAACTCGAGTACATTATTTCATTATCTTATCAGAGCAGCACTTACACAATGCAATGTTTAATCATTCATGTGTACGTTTTAACCTGTGCCCCAGCCCTTGCCATCTAAAAAATCTGCCATGACCCATGTAAAAGTTAGGTGATCCAAATAAATTGTGCATAATATTATAATGTATACGTACATTTGTATTTCTGTGGGTGCATGTTGTTCATCGACCCACCGATGGGTATCTGCAACGGGGTGATGTCAAACGCGGTCATATCGTCTTCGCCGCCTCCCTCGTCGTCGTAGTTGATTATGTTCTCTCTGACGTCGTCGTCCGGTCCGGGGTACTTGATGTGTGACTCGCGTCGCCGGTTGTACACGACGAACATCAACACCAAAACTACGGAAAACGAAGATAAGACCGCAGTCAGACAAGTTGTGAGGAAAAACGTGTAGATCGCGGCGTAAGTACTCGGGAAAACCGTTTTTATCGTGTCGGAAAAAGTGTCGGGTCGTACACAAAAATGATTCTATTATTTTGGAGATAATATATCAATACCAAAATAACAACTGATCTTTTGTTTTATTAGGACAGTTTCACAGTAATGAACGCTCGACGGCGATCCTAAGGTAGACATTTAAATTAAAATTGTAAAATTAATGTAAAAGTGATATTTTAAATAGAAAAAAAAATGTTTATATAATAAATATATATAAGAAATGTTTATAATCTGATTACAAATCAGAAAGCGATTAAGCCGATATTGTACAACAATATGAAAATCCAAAAATTATAAAAATGAATAGATTATTTTTCAGAAGATTGAAATTCCGATTGTTTGAAATCAGAAAAAAACTGATATCGCTAAGGGGAATTTAAATTAAAATCGAACAATCTTTTAATTTCGATTTCAAGCCCCACTACGAAAAAAATTAAAAAAAACACCTTTTAACTATTCTCATTCAATTATCAAATTTTCGGACTGCACTTCTATTGTCGTACCGATATATTGTATCGCAGGTACTTTAAACGGATTATATTGTTTTTGGATTTCTTCCGACGATAGAAATAAATCGTCGAAACCACTTGTGAACGAATTTGGGAAAAGCAAACGGTAAAATGTGATGTGCGTTTATCTGGACGCAACTGACAACTTACTGAGGATGATGAGGAGGCACACCAGTATGGCGGCCAGTGCGCCCATGCCAAGTTTCAGTTTCTGGCCTTCCTGGACCAGTTCGCAGTTCTCGCCCCAAAAGCCGTCTGGGCATATACAGCGGTAACGGATCCTGGGGTCTTGGTTCAGGCAAACGCCACCGTTCCTGCACGGGCTGTCCAGACACTCGTTCTTGTCCACGCATCCTTTGCGGTCAGGCGTCATGATCCTGCCTTCGCCGCAACTGTGATACATAATAATACGGAAAGTCAAAATGGTTTCGTAATTCAATAATTGTTGTGGTGTTACTACAAGACGTGTGCCTATACAAGTTCGGGGTTATCCAAAACGAATTATCCTATGCTTTGTGCATCGTAGGTCCTACATCCACCCGGTCTTATGCTCGACATGTCACTACTTTTTTCGGCGATAAGTTAAAGACACTTTACATAATATACCGTAGAATAGGGTTACATGCTTTGATTTCGTGGGACTACTTTGACACACTTATATTTTTATTCACAAGAGTACCATGTAGATTTAATTTTTTTTCATAAAATGGGGTTAGGTACTTTGATATCACATTAAGAAATATAGTTATAAAAGTTGCGTAACTTTGATAGCATATTAAAATTTAAAATAATTGTTATTTATGAAGATAATATCAGAATTTTTAAAATTAAAACGTTAAAAAAATTAACATAACTAGCTGCAACTAAGATTTAATTTTGAGAGTTGTATCGTTAATACCACAGAAGTATCCATAATATAAAAAGTAAAATTGTCATAAAATAGTAAAAAATTATCACACATTTACAATTAACCACATTTTACGGTACCTACGATGATTACAATCAATCACGGGGGAGCTGAATAATTGGACAAGTCGATTACGATACGCATATGCATGTAAAGTATTAGAGAAGAACGCATTTAAAGGTGTATTATGAAATATATATATAATTTTTATAATATTACTCATGGCGTGGTGTAGAGTACTCACGTGCAATCGTAATAGTTCCAAAGGTCGACGCATTCGAAAGGCTCCTGGCAAATGACGTTGGCGCACGGTTTGTTCGATGGGCAGTTCCTCTCGACGTTCCTGGCCATGGTAGCTTGGCCCCACTGAGTTCCGTTGGTCGCCGGCGGTAACGGCAGGTATCTTCCCTCCAAACGAATGTCGTCCAAACAACCTTAAACGATTTTACATTGTACAGTCAACTCTCATTAACTTGAACTTCGACAACTCGAGTAGACAAAATTACATTTCAAATTATCATAACTTGTCTCGGTGTTTAAATAATCTAGTTAGTTCGAAAATTAATTGGGATAGTTGATACCTTGAATTAATTATTGAAGTACCGAGACTGTACACACGGTAATATGAGTTCAACATGAACCATCATCTTTTATTATGGTTCACTTTCTTATATTTATGCTCACGAAAATAATTTTGACAGTAACAGAAATATGAGAACATACTGCTAATAATTGAGTGACCAAAAAAATTAATTAATTTTATTTATAAATTGAACACAAGAGAAGTTTGGATTTATTCGTCTTGGCCCCCCTTGAACGTAATCAAGCCACTTGGCAGGTTTTATTCTATCTATACTTTAGTTACAACATACGATTGTAGAAAATAATCAAATGTTTTAAACAAACTGGTCAAACATTTTTTCGTAAGTATTTATTTATTATAACTTATGGTAGAAAGTATTATAAGTTGGTATAAACCATTCACGTTATCATTTATTTTTAATTCGATGTACAGTATTACGACGGTGTTTATGCATGTGTCACTAGGACTTGTAGCCTATAAAAAGTCACAAAATAATTTGAATATGAAATCAAGTATATTTTATTTAGTATTTGTATTCTATTTAACTGAATTTATTATTTTGAATTAATGTTATTTGTTCCACGTGTTATTACTTAAAGTATTAAATTGTACTATAATTTATAAAACTATCATGCTTCTATAGGAAAAACGTGCGCTTGCCCGTCAAAAACCATATCATTCGACAACAGTTAAAAACAAATGTATGTTTTGGTTGTATTATTTAAAACAAAAATGTCGGTGGAGAAAAAATTGATAAAAACAAAAAAAAAATAATCAAAATACGCATTTATGTACAAAGTAACATTTTAAAACCAGCTTTGAGAAAGCAAGAAATGCATTTGTTCAACTATACAAATGCTACAAGTCCTCCGACCTAGACATTACGGAATATATCAATAATATTATAATAATAGATATCATATGATAAGAACTTAGACGTTAATATAAATTGTATACTTTATTTTTTATGATTTATGTGTCTATTGTGTGAATTAATTTTAAATTATAAACAACTCAATAATGGCTTAAGTGTTTGATATTTTTAATATCAACAAAAATTTATTTATTCACATAGAACAAATTTTATCTAAGTATATTAATACCGATACCAATATAATATTTGCACAAAGCAATAAGTTTATAACATAAAAATAAAGAAAAATTGAGTAGCTATCAATTATTTATGTATGTATGTTTCTATCGCCTATAAATATTTGGTGCCTCAAGTAGAATAAAGTAAGAGTAGCCACTACCTAGTAGGTTGAAGTGTCTAAAAATGTGTGTTTATGCAAATAGATGAGGTAAAAATGTTAAGCCCCCATGGAGGTGACCAATTATTCGCCTACGGATTTGACTTAAGCTTATAAATACAATTATTACATAATTAGACTATAAGCTAATTTCGAAGAGACTGTCGCCTTTCTCATGAAACAAAAAACTTTCTGAATAAGTCTATGACAACTACTCAAATACACGGTGTGAATTAGAATTGTATCGAATTTATAGTCACTTACGGTGACGCTTTTCTCCCGTCCAATTACCTTTTTGGAAGTCACCGTATACTTCAAACGTTCGAACGCCCGTGTACTCAGCCTTTCCACCGGCGTACACTCCTTCTTGCTTGTCCACCATCAACCACTGATGTCCTTCGAACCGATAAGTTTCGTTGTAATGTTTTCCTTCTCCACCGTCAAGTTCCAAAATGGCCGATGAACCGTATCTCGATACTTTGGCCGTGTGCCATTTGCCGTCGTCGACGGTCACGGCGCTGAGCCAAACGTCCCTTTCTTCGGTCCTCAAGCTATTCAAGTTGTACCGGAAATGCAGTTTGCTGTCTTTAATCTGCAAACACAATACAATATTGTCAAACACATTAGTTAAAAACAAGTATTTCGATTCACATTTCAAAAATAATTTTCATAAATTACATCTCGCAATGTGCATATCATTTTTTTGTTTACTGTTTTACCGGAAGTTTAAATGCAATTGTAAATTAAAATTAGAAACGTAGATGTACTTAACGGCCATGAAATTGTATTAGATCTGAGAGAAGTATAGTTAATGAAATATAAAGAAATGAGACAAAAAATTAAAAAAAACATATTTAATTTTGAAAAATTTTAATCACTACATTTCAAACGTCCACCAGAGGATTTCCTGGGTGTGGGGGACATCAAATATAATATAACAGGCCCATGGATAGGGCCATGTTCAAACGTGAATTTTCAGATCTGCTAGACCGAGCACCTCTTGTCGACAAACCGAATTTTCTAACACGTAAATATTTTAATCATTGCAATAAACACCGAGTTCAACTTATAATATGACAACCAGCAAATGCTTTCCATTCGACGAGGGGTGCTTGCCCGTGGGGCATGCTACAACTTAAGTAATATAATAATGACTATATCCAACCTCGAGAATGGCGTATTCGCGGTTGTGTTGGTCACTGACTCTGAACAGCTCTCCGTGCTCTTCGCGCGTCCTGAACCGCAACTGGATTTTGGTCATGAACTTGTCGGCGTCGAACGACAGAGCGTACTTGACGTAGCTCTGTGGCCGGAAGGTGGTCGGTATTGTGGGTGTGAGGCAATCGGCGCCTGACCAGCCGGGGCTGCACTCGCACCGAGGTTCCACCATGCTGCCCACGCACGATCCGTGTTCCGAACACCTGTGGCCGACCAACTGCATGCACAAGTCTTCGGTTTGAGGACATCCGGCAACGCTGTTCCTGGTGAGACCGGGGTTGGCCAGATCGTAGAGCTGCAAACAAAGAGGACGACAAGTATTAGTTAGTATTGGATAATATTTTACATTCGGATTGAGTATGTTTTATAATGAACTGAGATCGATGACGTCAATGAGATTCAATAAGACCTATCTGCGAAGGATTTCATAGATTTGAGCAATACGTTCGTGTAAGTTCGTTAACACGAATTCTCAGCTCCGCATATAAACTGTTTATCGTTGTTGACGCATTTGCGCATAATATTATAATAATAATATTATATCATTGTCATTGTAGTCATCGTCAACGGAGAACATTGAGCCGTTACCTTGCTGTTGTGATAGACGTTTTTGATGCAGCCGTCGAACCCTTTGCCATACGGAGCGGATTGCCAGTGATAGTGAGTCGGGTCGAAGTCCTGCACGTACCGGCCACCTATCTGCAGCGGTGAATTTATGTTCAGGTACTCATTGAATGGCGGTATTGTGCCCTGGGCCTGGCACGAGGCGTCGTCGAACTCCGGATGCGAACCGTCTTCCAGTTCGGTGATGTCCGCCGAACGGCAGTTGTCCACCACCAAACGGATATTCTGAGAAAAACGAAAGATGCGTCAGGGGAGGGTCGTCATCCGATCGATAGAGTTTATAATGTGTACTCGTGACAAAGCGCATGCAAACTAGTAGGCGAGTTGGATACGTACCTCCGTGTCCCAGAACACGTCTATCTTATGCCATTCTCCGTCGTCCAAGCTCTTCTTTGTTTTGACCTTAAGCTCTAACGTACCGGACCCGAAGTCGATGAGCAAACGCGGTTGACCCCTGTCCAACTCAACCGATATGAAATCTGTGAACAAACACAATATTATATATTTAATTATATTACCTTCATCAATAAACTAATCAATTTTACAACGCTTTTTTTCCAAAATCATGAATCAAAAATGTGAATAAATTAAGTTTGATCTAAATTTATTTTGAATGACTTTATTAGTGTACGTATTAGTGATATTCTATTTTGAATAACTGATCATGTAAATGCATAATTTTCTCAACATATTCTTAAATGATAAAATTTGTATATTTTTATATCAGGACAATTTTGTTAACAGTTATCCGAAAGTTGGATGAATTAAAAATATAATTTACTTTTATTAAAAATTAAAAATTGAACTTTCGTTCATACTCTTTTAGGGCACACGTGGATGCTCGTTTTTAGGGCATTAAGTTCACAGTTAACTATTTTCAGTATTTTTTGTTTAAAAAAAAAGCCCATAACAGCTTGACATTTTACCTGATACTAGTGTTTCTTCGGGTTCCGGTGGAACGATGGGACCGTTGTACAGCATGAGACCGTCCGCTTTTCTGGTGACGAACTCGAGGCTCAGATGAGAGTTGTCGCACATCTCCAAGGGTGGATACCAAGCCCATCCGCTACCCTTGAAACTCCTGGCCGTCTGTTGGCATCTGGGTCCGTTGAAGCCGTTCGGGCACTCACAAGTCGGTCCGTTCCTGGTGTCAGAGCACCGTCCGCCGTTCAGGCAGGGGCTCGAGCGGCAAGTGTCGATTTTCGTGAAGTTTCGGGCTCCACAAGTGCATTCCGCGTAGGTGTCGATCCGGACTCCGACCAGCGCCGTCTTGTTAGCGTTAACCATGTACGGCAAAGTGTTTATCTCGAACACGTTCGTGCAACTCCCCTCGCAGTTCACGTACTCGTAGAGGCACTCGTCGATGCCCACCATGGTGATGTTTATACCCACGTCCTTTTCAATCTGAAAGAGGGAAAAATTAAAATTAAAATAAATCCACAACGATGATTTAGGGCCGCGGATTAGCGATTAGCATATTTTACGCAAACGTTTTTTAACGCTTGATCTGTCTATCGGTAATATTAAGTATATTGTGAAATTAGTGATGTAGATCACGATTCAAAACTTTCAAACTCCACCCCCTAATCTGGAACTTATTATTTTACCCTTTAGTGGACACGACAGTAATAATATAATATATATTTTGGATTAACCGGTTTGTGTGAAATGGTACTTCCTCACCTGAAAGTTTTACACTTTCTGATGATAATTTAGAGCAACGCCTTCGTTTAGAAACAATATTTCGTCTGTTTTCCAGATTATAATCAACTGATCAACGATACGCAAAGACGTGCTCCTACACCGACGGTATTATAATGTTAATTTATATTTGAAATTATTTATAAATTTAATTTAAAACACTCATTCTTAGATGATTTTATAATACACCCCTCCCATGGTGAGAATGATTCAAAATAATAGACTTATTATATTTTTAACATTGTATTTACACGATTAGAAATCATTGGCATAAGTAAAAATTCAAAAACAAACAAAGTACTAAAATTGGAAACCAGTACTAGGAAAATACGAACATATAGCACAAGGTGCAATGTGTGGTTTGAGCTTAAAATAAGAGGGACAGAAATACTAAGATAATAAGATAAGTATTAAAATGCAGAGTGAGAGGAAACACCACCTACACGTTAAACAGTTTTGAACTATTGTTATATATTTTTACATACCGGATTGAAATACAATAATTGATACTGATGTGGAACAATACTATTGAAACGTCTATACTATAATAGACTTTTAATTTTTACTGTTTACCTAATATATTAAAACGTGTAAGCTCTGAATGAATAATAATAATACAAATACTGTAAAGATCAAATCGACCGTTATACCTCTTCTCTGTGCATTAGCACCAGACCGTTGAGTTTCACGGTTTTGTAGTAAGGCGATCCGTGAGCGGAGAACCTGATGTCGGTTAACGGGGGGTACTTTTGTTTCAACTGAACACTGAAAATGTCGATGTTTTCTCTGGGCGTGTTTAAAATGTCCACGAGCTTGTCTTTGAATTTATCGGCTTTGCTCCTGACCAGACTCTGCGTCTAATGGAAAAAAAGAAAACGTGTTAGAGCCCTGACTGTCAGACGATCGTATTTGGCGTTCGGCGTTTACTCTGTAGTTCCATATCCTGATGAAGTCTTCGTCGGAAATGCCAGCGATACGTATGGACCCAGCGTTCATAACCGCCTCGGGCGAAATTTCCTTGACCGTGACCGTGACGTTCGCAGAGATGTCCGTTTGTGTGTGTTTCCGGTCGTACACCTTGAACCGCAAGTGGTATTGGCCCTCTCTCGTGCCGTGGCGCATCATGATCATTCCCGTGGTGTCGTTCAACTTGAACCGTGGATGTTCGGTGCCGTCAGGGTAGAACTTTTTGTCCGGCAAATCCCAGTCGTCCAAATCGTACACATACACTCTACCGATTTCCGTGTCCGGAGCTTGACCCTGAAATGATTTATAACATTTTTTAAATATTATTTGCATATTATTGTGGCGATTGGTGGTTATCCATAACTATCAGAAAAAACTCAAACCCGCGTCACGTGCAGCTCAACGTGTAGTAAAAATTGTTTTGTAAGTTATTTATCTTACACCGGAAGTACCTAAACCTAATATTATTTGCATCGGGAGATGGCAGATAATATAATATTAATATAAATGACAATAATTGATAAAGTTAAGTAATATATTATAATATTGATCGATATCGTATGAGCCATGAACGATTCCAAACAGTTTTGAAATATTAAATCGGTATGACAATTAATACTTGTATGTCTGATTTATCTCGAGGTACGATAAAATGAAGAAATAAATGTAAGTAGGTAATTAAAACGTTTTAAAAATCGTATGGTATAAAAATAGTGGTTTAAAATTTGTATAGGTACCTATACTTATCTGCAATAACTTTCAAGTGATTTATCACCATACTAATATTATTATTGTCGATGTACCGTGCAGTGACTTGACCTACACTGTCATAGTGAGTGTTAAAATATCGTCGCAGATATTTACAAAATATTATAATAATATAATAACATACTTAGTAATTGCTTAAATATAATACATTTTAAGTAAATTATGAGCATATGCGGCACTTGAAAAAAACTAGTGGGTGCAGGAATTAAATAAATTAAAAATAGGATTTCAAATTTAGAAAACTGGCATCGTTATAGTAAAAAGTTGCATTGGAACATTGTACCTGCCTGTGAACCATTCATTTTTCAAAAGTATCGTTTTGTCCTTCGAATAAAATACCAGGGGGGAAATATCGTACTCCAAGCCAACCCCCCAAGTGTAGCGCCTACGACTACGATGCTATTTTAGCATGTTTTATAGAATGTTTTATATCCGATGCATGTTTGAAATAATTTTAGCAGCACGCTCCACATTTACGACAATGCTGGTAGTGTCATAAACTTGAAAAATTATCATTTACCATGTAATTGTAGGCAAATATTTCTTTAGATCCCGGTTGCATTTTGTTGTCGTTTACGTCTCGAATGATGACCGTTAGAGTGCTGGTTCCCGTCATCGCCGGATTGCCAGAGTCTTTGATCACTATCGGAATGAGATATTCTTTTTGTTGTTCTCGGTCGAACGACCTGAGCGACGAGATGACAGCCATACCGTCACCGTTGGCACCCTCTGAAAATTAATTGTATGAATTATTCCACATTATGAAACACTAAAAGTGGACCAGGTCAGCGGAGTGCTCGGTGCTTTCTAAGTTGGGGAGGTGGGGTATGATTTTTTTTTACTATTCTCAGACCACGTTATATATCAGTAATTAATGAACTTCCATTGTTTTATGGCATTATATTTTATGTGACAAAAGTAAGCCGAAGGGGGTGGATATGACACCCTTATCTTCCCATGTGTGAACACCCCTTGATCAGGCCCTTAGCCGGGTGTGGGAACACCCTCCTCCATCTAGACCCAACCGTTGCCTCTACCAGGTTTTTGAACTTTAAATGTAAATCCTTCAGTGGTGAAAATAGAAAAAAAACGTCCATGGAATGATCAGCCCCAAGAAACTTAAAAAAAAAATTAAGTTTATGCAATTTTATTGATATATTTGTTTTTCTGCCTTGTAGGGACACAACTCCAAATTTGCACTGTTGCTATCCTATAATATACTAATCTAGTAAATACTATGTAATGAAACGTACAATGACAGACTTTCTATAACTGGGTCTATAATAATAATAATAATACACTCAATTTTTTCGCTTAGTCGTAAAACACGTCGAGAAAATAAAATAAAGATCGGCCACTGTTTTGTCATTTTTAAATATTTCATCTACAACTAAAATTCGACTAGCCACCGTGCAGGTGGTTTGGTGTGTTGCTACTGGCTTGTAGTGGGAGGGAGGAAACCGGTGCCGGTTATAGGTAAGTACTTTGATCGTGTTCGACTTTGAACGATGCTCTGATCACGTCATCCGCGTTCGGGTCCATCCTGAACGTGAACGGCGGTCCGTTGCTTTTCGAGCGGTCGTCGTCGTCGGTAGCTAAGACTTCTACGACTTTCCTGGCGGGCACGTGCTCTGGCAACACCGGTCGGTAATCGCGGAGGAGCTTCGGAGCGTTGTCGTTGATGTCCTGGACGATCACCGTGAGTGTGGCCGTAGCCGTTTTCGGTGGAACGCCGTCGTCGATGGCCAAGATTTTTACCTGAAACCCGAGAAAACGTTAAAGTCAGAGGGCTGGCGGTATTCAATGCAATTAATGTATTATTATTAATTGTATTTATTTAAGTTAATATCAATAAAAAACAGTTAAGTTAAAAATGAAGTTAATGAATATTACACTTTAAAAAGTTAAGTTAAAAAGTTAAATTAACTTAACTTTAACTTTTTAACTCGTTTACGCCCAGTATCGATTTCCAATGCGTTTTTTGAGATTATATAAACGCGTTTATAAAATGCATTCGCATTGTCATCTTACCAGTCTTGTAAAAAATACTTTTGAAAAAGCATTAAGATACTTTTAAAATAATATTACAAAAATGTATCTTACGAATACTCACAAAGTATTTGAATACAAATACAAGTATTTTTTTTAATTTTATACTATAGAATAAATATTTATATTGAACACCAGTCTAGGTAGTTAGCATGTTACTACTTAATATGTATTTTAACAAATACTATAACTTGTCTGACTATTTAGAGATAAATACATGTTAACAATACTTCATTCAGCATTCAGATATATTTCAAATAATATTGTTTAAATTTTAATGAAAAAAATAAAATAAAAAGTGGTGTTAACTATTGATATGGAACTATTTTAAAATTATTAGGTTTTCAGTTTTCTTAAAAAATTCCAATACAGAAACCATATAAAATTTGATGTGGTATTTTTTAAATTTTAAACATTGTTATTACCTGCTTTTACCATACAATAACATAAAATTAGTTTTCTACGAAAACCATATATTTTTAATTGGTGTAAATTGTTGGTGAAAAAATAATAAATCAAAATCAATAAAACGGTTTTTATGGTGTTTTAATACGAGTATTTAAATGTTATTAAAAATACTTTTAAAAAGCATTCAAAACACTTGAGAAATACATTAAAAAAATTGCATTTAGAATACCGTATAAATACTTTAAAAAGTATTCGAATACTCGTCTTGGAATACTTCACAAGACTGCATCTTACTGATAGTATAATATTATCTACGTAGAGCTACGGACGCACCTGATGTCTAGGAGTTTCCTCCCTGTCCAGCTGCCGCTGAATGGAAACGGTGCCTTCTTGACTGATGCGGAACTGACGGCGGCGGTCGGAGACGCGGTCGATGGCGTACGACACTTTGCTCTTGCCCGCTTGGTCCGGGTCGGTGGCTTTGAACGTTTCCAGGCTCTTGCCGACTTCGACGTTTTCGTACACCGACACTTCGATGTTGGGCCGTTCGAACTGCGGCTTGTTGTCGTTGATGTCTCGCAGTTTGACGACGACCCACGAGTAAGCCACGTGATATTTGTCGTGATCGTTGTCTTCGCCCTGAAAACAATCGCAACGAAAACAAACTATTATTATTGAGGACTCTTAGTTTTTTCATATTTTTTGTCTAGAAAGGTCGCAGAACAATGTGAGTGATGTACAAATATGTTTTATAATACTAGTAAGTAACACAGGACATTTTATTTTGATTATTTTTGCATATATAAATGCATATTTGAGAGATAAGAACATATTATTTTGCGAGTTTTCAAATTAATAAATTGCAGTTTGGACATAATATTTTGGAAAATATTTTGCACAATTTTGAAAAAAACTTTAAGTGTAAAATGTTATTCTTTGACAAATTAAGATATGTATGCATTTGGAAACTTGAATATTTAGAAATATAACAGTGCAATGATAATCGCAGAAAGTCGATCGATTATTTGGCCGTTAACACTACAACTTGTGTAGCAGGTAATGTTAATATTACTAAATTTAAATGATGAGTAATTTTTCATGTTTTTATAAAGTAAATAATCAATTTGTTTTATATTTTTGTCATATAATCTTTTTTATAGCATATTTTAAGTGCATGTTTTTTTGTTTTTTTAGTGCTCAAGTGCATACATATTTTCAATTTTATAAGTACTAGAAGTCCTAAGCTCTCATTATCATATATTATATTTTTGTTATCTGAGAGGTCAGGTAACATAATATTATAGACACTTAAAGAAAAATATAAGTTAAGTAAACTATAAGCTGCTGCAAATACCATAATATGTTTATAGTTAACTATTATTATTGTCGAGAGAAATCATATGGAAAAACATTAGGTTAGATGACTACAATATATCCTAAAGATCAACTCTTAGCTGATATGAAACCAAATGTTCACCATGAAAAAACGAGGAACACTGACTGCTTGCAATAAAGAGAAAACTCCAACAGCAATAACTTTTTTTGTTTCTAGGCATATTGTGATGGCGAAAAATCAAAAACGACAATATTACTATACATATAATAATATACTGCACAGTCGATGTTCTCCTAAATATTTTTCACGGTGAACATTTGGTTTTAACAATCTCTCGTCCACTTGACCACGTACAACAGCACGTCATCATACCTTGTCGTTGACTTGAATCCTGAAACGGAATCCGTTACTCTGCAGCTGGTCTTCGTAATCCAACGGTTGAACGATTTTCAGCGATCCGGTTCCGTCGTTGTTCCGTACCATGGTGAATTTATCTGCTCCATAACCGCTGTTTTCGATCACCTGAATAACGACGCGAATAAATTGAGTCAGTATAGTAAAATTTATAGTATAGTTAGGTGGGATGGGTGGGTGGGTGGGTGGGTATGCGACACAAATATTATTCTGACTGGGCCTCACTTTGTACTGGAACTTGTTGGTCTCGTCTTCGTCGTGCACCGTCACGGTCAATATGGGAGTCTCCGGGAAATTAAATCCGTCGGTCTCGTCGACTTCGGTGAGCCACTCTTCTTTGGTGAACTGCGGCGGCATGTCGTTGATGTCCTTCACCCGAATGGAAGCGGTGCCCGTGCCTAAAAAAAAATAATAATTTAGTTGTAGGTACAGAAAATCTCGGAATACCGTCGACAAATATAGGTCGAGTCGGGTATATACCTTTCAAGCCTCCGCCGTCCATGGCGACCACTTGGATCGAATAGTCCGGAGTGCGTTCTCGGTCCAAACAGCACACGGCCGTCTTGATGACTCCCGTGTCGGATTCGATTTCGAATATCGGAGTGCCGGTTTCTTCTTCGATCACGTTCTTTTCGATTGAATATATCAGTTTAGCGTTAGTGCCCTCGGCCGGGTCGTCGTAATCTACCGCCGTCATTGTCATCACTACCATACCTGCAAACGCGATCCAGAAGACACGAGATTATTGTCGCATCCGGTCATATTATTATAACGAAGGTTTGCAATATTTTGGTGTTGATAATATACAACTGAACACAGTGAATTTTAAGAGGGTAACTGTTAACTGTTGTCTATATTAAGGTAGATTTTGTAAAAAGAAAAATAAATACGTTTTTACGCTTCGATACATATTCCTCACATTAATGAAATTCTAATCAAAATTACATAAATACCTAGGGCCGTATTTACAGTCGATGCTTGAGTTTAAGTATTGCTTAAGCTAATTTTAATAATTTAAACAGTAGAAATGTGTGACAGTAACTAAAAGCAACTCTAAAAGTAGATAAATCTTAATTTAGGTAATACTTTTTCTTTTCCTAAGCCAAAGTCTTGTTTATTATTCTCATTTGAGTCATAAATATAGCTATACAAATTATTTTATATTAATAATAAAATAAAAGTGTACAATAAAATAAGTGTTTCACATTAAATTTCTAAATAATTTTAAAACGTATTAACATTATACTGTTCATGTAGAAGGGTGTAGTTGCATATCTTGCATGGCCAGTTAATTATAATCTCGGTAATAGCCACTATAAACTATAACTACTAAACGCAAATGATGCTCTAAATGATCATCAGAAAGTATAGCTCGGTACATATTCAGCTTTTATAACTTTCATGAGATAAAATGACATACAGGAAATATATTATATTTAATATAATTGTATCTGCTAAATGACAAATGTATAACAACAATTAATAAATTCTAACAAGAGGAATCGACTCAGAAATCGTCCAAGATCGATAAGCGAACCCATCCCTAAGTATAATCATCTATGGAGAGGTTTGCGTGAACAAGCGCTGATGACTATAATGTTATCACCTCACTGCCTAATATATATTTTAACCGAAACGAGTAAATTCTATAATTGCTCAATGTAACGAGCAAAAGAGAACAGCACATTGACTGAAGTGTTTCTATATGACTATTATTTAAACATCTCAAAGTAAAGGGTTGAATGTTAAAGGTTTCACATTCATACCAGCTAACGAGAGTAATAATAAATCAACCCTTAGTATAATCATCTATTGAAAGTTTCACGTAAACACCCATTGATGAATATAATATTAGTCGATTATCACCTATCTGCTTCATATTATATTTGATCGAAGCGAGTAAATTTGATTATTGCGACGAGCAATAGAGAACAGAGTATTGACTGAAGTATTGGTAAACGCCCATTATTTAACCGTCCCAAAGTAAAGGGTTAGAGGTTAAAGGTTTCACTCTCATCCCCCTCGAGCGAGTGTAATAATAACAATAATTACGTACCAGCTGTTCCGTTTTCGGTTACATTTCCCCAGTAAACTCCTTGCGGGAATACCGGCGCGTTGTCGTTGATATCTTTCAGGTTCACCTGGACGTCAGCATATCCAACTAAGCCTTCGCCCCCTTCGTCCTGCGCGAACACGGTAAATCTCCACTGTGGCCTGCCGTTGGGCTGATCTCTGTCCAATGGCTGCGCAAAAGAGTGACGTTTTAATAAAATACAGTGTTGTTAAGGAACGGTTTCCAGAATTGATTCCTCTTTAGAGGATCGAATGAAGGAATAAGTTCTATTATTTTTTAAAAGAATAGGAACGTGAATCAAATTTTGTTTACTTATCATGTTTTTAATCTATAAAAAAAATTATAGACGAGACTACCAATTTTTTATTCACATATGACTTGGTGTTCTGATTAGTGATCATGATAACTCATGAACCACGAAGAAGGAGGAAAATAATGAGTTCCTTTTTCATAGGAACTAGGAATTGAACGAATTCCTTTATAAAAGGAACTTGAAAAACACTGATAGAATATTGTACTATATTATTGTTTTAGTGTCCACATATATTACCTTGAGAACGAATATCTCGCCAGACGTACGATTGATGTCAAATTTGCTGTTGGCCGGGTTGTCGGGGTCGATTCCCTGTCCCGTGAGGAAATATACGATGTTCTGCGGACGATCCTTGTCGCCGTCGGTGGCCGTTACCTATATATTATAATATAATACACGAATTAGGTATAATTAGGTGGCCGACGAGTCGAAAAATATTTATTCAAGTCGTGTAAATAAATAAGGATTAGAAAAAAAAATGGTTGCAACAATGATCTACGACTATAATATTCTAAACGAGTGCTGGATAAAACTGGATGCGACAGAACTTTATTATAGGTATAACCTTACCTGTGGGGATCCGATTGGTTATAGCGAGATCTATACACGCAAACGGGCGATAAACAAATCAGTAAATACACCCCTTCAATGTATGAACCGGCAGTCTTGTAAAGTACTCAAGCGGAAGACGTATTACAATATTTTATAAGTAGGTAGGTTCTCGAATATTTATTTTAAATACACCGGCAATGTAAGTTGTGTTCAAATTAAATACTATTATGGTTTTTCTTCTATATTAAATATTTTTCATTTTCGATTCAACACCCAATAAAAAAAAAAAATTTGAAGAAATAATCGTGTATAATAATATATTTCTCATGTACAATTATTATGTCCAACCAAAAATGCGCAGAATACCTTGATAGATAAAACAGATGAGTAATTTATAGTTTCGCCGAATTTTAGGGTGTAAACTCTCCACAAAATTAGTGTAAAACATGAAAATGCTAAAAAATTCCGTTCAGGTATTGGGTACAACATTTTTTTTTAATTTGAACGTTTTTGAAACTATCTGTATTTGTAATCAAACGCCTACGTATTTTAACTCTTAAGCAGAGGAGCGACCTAACTAGTGTATTATTTAAGTTAATCCCCAACCCAACTAGTGTAGTACCGGAGATTAGCACCTAGCCGGTACTTTGGACCCAACTATGTGCCGATTTTAAAAAGTATCTTTTACAAGACTGCGTGACCCGGTGTCATACCATTGCGGGCGGGCGTCCGTCCGTGGTTTGCAGATCTATCGGATACGTACTTGTAACAAATGGTGTGGATACGCTCCGCTAAGTTCTTCTTCCATTTCGGTGGCGTACAGCGGCGAGTTGAACACGGGTGGCATGTCGTTTTTGTCTTTTACGTTAATCACCACCGTCGTTTTGCTGTCTTGGAAGTTGTCGGAAGCGGCCAATATCAATTCGTACTACATATAATATTACAACCATGCAAATACGTCATATTGAAGAGGCGGTACACTTATCTGTGTTTTTATGTTTGGGCAATAGTGCGACGACGACGAAAAGGGCTGTCGTCGTCGGGGGGAGTTGCGGTCTCGGGGGGGCCGTCGAGTTGACCACCTGTTATAATGTACTTATATGTATAGCATTGTGGCGACACTATTAGGTACTGCTGTGTTGTTTTATTAAACGCAAATAATATTATTCGGTTCGAACAATTAATAAGTATAAACGCTACAAAACGTGCTCGCATTGCATAAAATATTATCGTGATTACGCGGCTATCGATTTTTACCGATCAACCGATAATCATGTAATATTTTACAATTATTATCATAAACATGCCACGTCAAATAATACAGGAATAGTACAGGAACCGCAAGCATGCTCATCCCCCCCTTTTTTTACCGTCAATACCTATATAATGCATTCGTTCAAAATCTGATTTTTGGAATTTTTAAATTAGGTAACAATCTATTCCTATAAAGTCAAAGACCGTATTTTAAAATTCTTGAGATTGTACGAAGTACTATGATGATAACAAGATCCAAAAATCAGAATTCGAGTAAATAATATTCATCGTGCACAAAATATAACAGGAATAAACGGGGGCGAGCGAGCTGGCCTGACGTATGTCACGATATTATGTTATGCGCACAAAGTCATATAATATTATCATCGTTATTTCAATATTATTAAATTCAAAACTATTAACGGTCGGAATACCGCTCGTGCAAAATTAAGTATACCTCTTATACCTAGGTAGGTGTACCCACCCGACGATATTAGGTATACGTTTTTCTACCGTCGTCGTTCAACGCGTTCCGGCGGTGCTGCAGTCGACTCGCGAGTGGTGACCACAGTCTAACCTAGGTACCTAAGTATACCTAGGCATGTTACAATATATGCATGGTGAAACACGTCATGCTGCATGCAAAGGGGAAATCGACTTGAAAAAAAAAAAACTACGTGCGAGTTCGCAAACGCGCGCCGGACCTGTAAGACCCGTTTGGGCAAGTTCCGGTCGTCCTCTTCCGTGATCTGTGTCCGGTACGTGGGCCGTTCGAACACCGGTGGATTATCGTTAACGTCTTTCACGTGGATCACGACTATCGTGTGGTTTTCTTTCAAGTTGTCCGACGCGGATAGATGTAATTCGTACTGTACACACATGTGTGATTGTCGCAAGTAAAATATTATATTTAGATCACAATAATAACATTATCGCATAAACACAATTATATTTTATCGATAATACAATATTGATATTTAATTCGATATATACATATATATATGTATACAAGGCGTAACAGAAAGACTTGACGAAAAAAAAAATTATGCTACTCAAACACATTGTTAAAATTATATGATTAGTAAATAATACTCGTGTCAGCGAATTCCCAAAAAAAATATTTTGAAAAAGTTATTACCTTCCAAGTTATTACATTCCAAATTAATTTACTCAAAAAAATATGGATATTTTAAAAATGTCTAAAAAATAAACTACTTGACTTTTTACTATCAAAATTGTTCTTATAATCAGATTCACAAATTTTCTATTTTGAATGTATATTCAAAAAAATTTTAATTAAATTTAAAATTTTTATATTTTCAGTGTTAAAAAATAAAAATAATTATTTTGTATAATATATGAGTAGCGCAAGTGACTATACATTTTATACATATAAAAATGTTTTTAAATATTGATTAGAACAAAAGCTATTCCAAAAGTCAGTTCCATCTGTTACATCCTTTGTGAATATTATGTATATAGCGATATTGCCGGAGTGTTGAAATAATAATAATTTGTTTCAAATGAAAAACAAAGAAAAACGACAACAGCAACAACGATGACGGTAAAAAAGACTAACATTGGTGATGAAAAATAAAGAAAATCAAAATAATATAATATTATTATTGTGGACGAAAAAAAATAAAAAGATAATAAAAAAAAAATCGAAAAAATAACGCCAGAGAATAGAATATTGTTATATTATTATCGAGAGGTACCCATGTGCACCTCACATGTGTACCTATGTATGGGATTTCCGGGCAAAAGTTCGTCTGGCGCCGGATTATGGTCATAACTTGTAAAATCAAGATAAACAACAATAATATTACAATGCAGGGACGGTACAATAACAACAATGCGGGGCGCCAAAACGGTTTGGCGTCGACCGTACACTTTTTGAAAAGAAACGGATAACAATAACAGAAATATATTATGTGCCTATATGTGCGTTTTTCCTATTCACATCGGAAAACTCTGTTCGGCGCTTAAACTTATTATTTGTGGACAAAAATATGTGTCACCGTGGTAAAAACGGTCTTTACGAAAACATTTATTTTTTAATACGATTTATCGTTCCCAGTGGAAAAGCACGATTTTTTCGGTACGATTGCGGCGCTACAATTTTATAAAATAAATAAAAACACCGTTATAGTCGATATTCGTATACCTACAAGTGTTGTGCGGTTTGTCGAGATGAACATTTTCGTCTCGTCTACAGGAAAAAATTTCTATTTTATTTTCATCTATCTAACGAAATGATATAATCATACATAAACCGTCTAGATGATTTTTTAAGACAAGATTTTCAATTTAATTTTTGTATAAACATATTTATTTATTTTGGAGGTATTTAGCATTTCGAACTTTCACGTTCTTTTAGATCTCTTATGCGATATATTTATAACGTGTACTTAGTTTAGTGTTCTTTTTGTAGCGTATTGTTCACGTATGATAAGCGCAGGGCATAAACGCTATTTTACAAAATATGCAATTGTTAAATAAGTTATTTTTTATCTATCATCAAGATAAATATTTCGAGAATTGTATTTTGATTATCTTATCATCTACACTCTATAGCAATGAATTTATTTATTTATCTGTTATCTAGATAATTGTTTGGTTATATTCGTACAACACTGCCAATACCTACTGCACAATATGCTTATTATGGTGAATTTTGTAAGAATAACTGTATTATATTATATAATTATGTGGACATTTCAGGTGGCTTAAAAATTATGGTGTGTGTGTAGTTTTCACGTTTATATGAATGATTGTATTATTTCGATTTTCGATCAATTTCATAAATCGATTAACAGTAATCGTCGTTATCGCGGTAAAGAAAAGTGATGAAATAAAAATATAAAAAAATAAACAATTTAATGGGATTAATCGGGACTTAAGTAGTGATGCAAACTGCAGGGAATGTTTTTGGGTAACGGGGATATTCTCGAGAAAATACGTTCATTGTGTATTTGTGGTACCTATATATAGGTATACAAAAATTATAGTCAGGATACCGATGTATACCTATAGCTATTTTCATATTTTTTGTTATTTATGAGTATACCCAATAACCTAACCTATATAAACGACGTTTGTGAACTATCGATTACTGATCAAGTAATGATTACTATTATAATGATAAGAATGTTATAAGAAAAATATTGCCATGACTTAATCCTATTTATTATATTGTAGTCGACGAAATATTATTACTAGAGCTAGGCACTTCTAGGAGTTGGCATGTTTTTAAATAATCATTAAAAACATAGCTAAGTAATATAGAAATGTGTTCCATAGCACAATGCGAGATTAGATTTAAAATTTATAGATGCATATTTTGAATATTATTTGACCATTTTTAATTTATAGGCGGTGTTAGTTTATAATTTAATAAAAAAAAATAATTTTCAATGTAGATATGAGTATGATGTTTTTATTTGTAGAAAATAAATATTTTAAAATTAGTATTTGTTTCACTCGTATTGTTACTGATGTAAGCAGAAAAAAAATCGAAAAAGAAAATTATCAATTATTTGTTAATACATACAAGATGTTTATTATAAATTACAATTTAAAATTTTGAAAATATTATCTAGATATTAAAATAAAAATGTTTTATTCAGTAGGTAATATGATTTTTTTAATGCATATTTTAATAGCATATATATAGGGATTCCCTGGGGCATAAGTGCATGCATATTTTAAGGTTTTTTAAGGATACGATGTCCTAATTATCACTAATAAAATTCTCGAGAACGTCCCCCCAATATCCAAAAGACAATTTCCTCAGTTTGACATCACTACATAGGTGCCTACCATCGGGCCGAAAACATTCTATAATATTAAAATATTAGATATTATGTTTGTTCGATTATATAAAAAGAATTCGGCCGAGGCCAATAATTATGCGTTTTCTGACTTACCCTTTTCCTCGTCTCGTAGTCCAGCGGGCCGGCGACATAAATGGCACCGGTCATGTTTTTGACGGCAAAGGCCCCTCCAAGATTTCCACCTGTTATCTCGTAACGTATTCTGGAAGCTGCAAACGACACGAAACAAATATTACACCCGAACGTTTCCAAAGGACTCTCGAGGAGCTCGCAAACGCGGGCACGTCAGCTTTTTAAAAAGTTAAAGTTAGGTTAAAAATTAGATTTTTTTTTAAAACTTTTTAACTCGACTGGTTAGTTATTTTTTTCGTTGACTTATTCGGTTAAAATTTGTATTGTTGCGACTTAAATGTGTATGGTCAACTAATATCGTTGTCGTGCAGTCGAGTTAAATTTCTTTTCGTATCGAGTGGAACCAACCCACAATACTGATTTGTTGAGTATTTCAAATGAGTTAATTCAATTTTATTTTCCATCTTACAGCTTAAACATATAGAGTTCAATTTTTTTTTTTTAGTTATACCAATAATATCAGACGAGACGTTTCTGGAAATTCGATACTCTGCACTATAAATTAGATCTATACCTGAAAATACCGCGGTTACTGGTTAGGTTAGGTACTTACGGAACAAATCAATGGAAGTAATATAGTAGTATAGTTATTAAATAATACAGCCGACTTTAGTTTATATGAAAATTAAGAGAAATGTATCGAAAAGATATCATAGCTACAATCCTATTAGTACAAACTGAAAAGAAAGTCAAAAGTTAAAATTTTCCTGAAGTAGCTTTCAAATTTAAGCGCATTTAGTTACGACTATAGGTCGGTTGTACTCGTTTGTACATCAAATGGACACATAAACCAATATTATATTTTTTTCACACCAAAAAGCTGTAACTCGACTGGCGACGTCTAAGTAATTAAAAGTCAACTACAAAAACATATTTTTATGAAACATTAATTCTTATCGGTCATAATATAATATAATCATGTCCACGACAATTAAAAAATAAAAAAAAATAGAAAGATATCCTGCCGAACAATATTCTTTAAATGTCGTTATTGTTAAAATTAAGCGAAGAAAAAAATTATGTTTTCGATCAACTTAAAAGTCGATGTCTAAGATAACTAAGATAGGTGTATGTGTGTTTTTTATAAGATTGTTTTCAAATAGTCAAACTCGGCTCTCCTCTCCGCCTATAGTCAGTTACGATAATGTACATAATATGATAACAGCTATTATCTGTCTACAACAGGTGGTATACTAACATTCATCGTGGTCCTTGGCAGTTACGGTGAGCACCGTGTGCTGAATGTCTTCGTTTTCGTCGACCTCGGCCTCGTACAACGCCTTGTCAAAGTACGGCGGGTTGTCGTTCTTGTCGGCAATTCCGATCCTAATGAACTTGGACACTGCAAAACGTACATGGCGACAACATTAATATACGATTTACAGGTACTATTATTATAGGTACCCCCTAGGCAACAGCGACGTAGGTATTTATGGTGGTTGGAGGAGAGGGGGGAGGGGGTGTCAAGTCCCAAAAGGCCTTTTTTATTATTATTTTAAATTGTTACACAAAAAAAAAAAAGATTCGACAAGTCGATGTGCTGACTGCAATCTATAGTTGTCAGTTGATAACTGATAAGAAGTATAATGTGAAATAACAATAATATTATGTCCAATACAAATCATTATATTATGCTATGAGCGAGGCTCACTGTAATTTTCACAACAGTTTTTGTCAAATCGAGACTATCCGCAATATTGGATAATATTATATTTATAATATGCACCTTGAGTGCTTAAATATATCAAATTAAACTAACAGATTGAGGTGTCTATATATTATGACTAGAGCAAGGATTTTCATATTTTTTCTGGTTTATTTTATCGTGTTAGATTAACAACGTTTATCATCAAATACCCAAAGATTTTAGTGCATAATCTGTTGACAGTTTATCGAGAACCAAGCACTTCAGT